GCAACTCTATCCTGGTGTGTTAGCCTTGTGAACTGATTCTTTATGTGTCCCTCTTAGAACGCTGGGAGGTATGGGTGACAATTCATGATTTTGGGGTGAAATAACAAATCAGCAATGACATTGTACACATTTTATTCAGGACGGTGATTTGTATACTTGTGTCTAGCCTCCCATATTGTATAAGCCTCCTCAGCACACAGGTCACATGACTGACATCACCTCAGACCGCTCGCCGACATGTTTCGGGGGAGGAAGGCCTGGTTCTCCCAGAGTGTAGACAGCAGCCTGATCCAGATTTGGGGTTAGAAATGTTATCTCTTACTTTGTACTTTACATCATCTTATTGTACATTGCAATGGAAAGCTGACCAGCTAACCTCTGTAAATACGGTGGATACCTGTCTACATAAATGTGTCTCACATTTACAAATAAGCTGTCATTAATTTATACACAAACACCTTGTAGAAGTAGGTAACACTGCCTGACTAGGCCGGATTTTATAATAAATGGTCTGATTCAATGAGAGGGTGCCAAAGGCAGAGCTGAAGTTTAAAGTTCAGTCACCATGGTGACCAGACTCCTTCCTGAAGTCAGCTCACTGACAGATGAGCTGATGGATGTTCTCTACTACCACTTATTGTTTACACTACAGCATTAGCGCTCCTTCACACTAGCTTTAGTCTCTGAAAAGTGACCCACATTTGGATCGCTCTTTAGAAAGCATTTAACAGGTAGTGAGGAAGCATTGTATTGCCTCCCTGCTGCCTGCCTTAACCTCTTGAAACCGCGTACTAGCGCGCCACAAGCCACATGCATTACATGCGGTTGTAAATTATAATAAATCTTTGAACTCTGATTAAATAATACATAAAAAGCGGCTGACACAGGAATAGCTACAATCCCTCAAACAATATATAACAAAAAAGTGCAGCACTAAATAGTGTTAAAGTCCATCAACTAACCACTTCCCTACCGGGCACTTTTACCCCCTTCCTGCCCACACCAATTTTCAGCTTTCAGCACTCTCATACTTTGAATGACAATTGTGCGGTCATGCAACACTGTACCCAAACTAAATTTTTATCATTTTTTGAGAGAGATAGAGCTTTCGTTTGGTGGTATTTAATCACCACTGGGGTTTTTTTTTTTTTTTGCTAAATAAACTAAAAAAGACAAATTTTTAAAAAAAATAAAGTTTTTGTTATAACGTTTTGTAAATAAGTATTTTTTCTCCTTCACTGATTGGCACTGATAGGCTGCACTGATGGACACTGATGAGGAGTCACTGATGGGCACTGATAGGCTGCACTGATAGGCACTGATGAGGCTGCACTGATAGGTGGCACGGATGGACAATGTTAGGCAGCACTGATGGGCACTGTTAGGCGGCACTGATGGGCAATGTTAGGCGGCACTGATGGGCACCATTAGGTGGCACTGATGGTCATTGATAGGTGGCACTGTTAGGCAGCACTGATGAGCAGTGTTAGGTGGCAGTGATGGGCAGCACTGATAGGCGGCAATGATTCAACTGATGGGCACTGATTCAACTGATGAGCACTGACCGTCACTGATTCAATTGATGGGCACTGATTGCCAGCACAGATGGGCACTATTGGTTGCACTGATGGGGCTACACTGATCACCAGGACACTGATGATCAGTGCCCTAATGATCAGTGTAGATGTTCTCCTGTGAAATGCCGCATACCAACTCTCCTCTCCTCACACGCTGTCAGCGTGAAGAGAGGACTGCCGATAACTGGCATTTCCTATTTACCCGGTGATCAGCTGTGATTGGACACAGCTGGTCATATGGTAAAAGTGGCTGTGATTGCCCCATTCCTTAGTCATGTGACCAGCTGTGTCCTAAGGACACAGCGATCACAGATCGCATGCAGTGCGCGCTCCAGGGGGTGTGCGGTGGGTGTTGTTCTGGGAGGATGTCCATGGACACCCTCCCAGAAGTAGCCGACCATTCTGTAGCTGTCTTTTGGCTATAGCATGGACGGGAACTGGTTAAGTACAAAAGTCCAAGCTCAAAGAACTTCTTAAGTGAGTGAAACCAAAGCATCAAAAAGAACAGAGAAACCTGCATTCAGTGAATGAAAAAAGGAGGAAGATGACACCTCTAGGTTCCTGGTGAAGACAACAGACATATAAGAGCTCTTACCAGAGCTATAGGGCTTTCCTCTTAGCCTTTTTCTAAAAATCTCAACTTAAAATCTTGTGCCTGTGAGAGATAATCATTTATTAGAGAACAGTTCCGAGGCCCGCCTTATCCTAAGGAATTGACTTTTAGGAATTGCCTTCAACCAAGAAGCATGCTGACAACTATCAATAGAAATAAAACCATTTACAGTCAGTCTCCTTAAAATGTGCAGAAGTGATAATATTACCATCACTTATTCTTAATAAATGTTATAGTTTTGAGCATACTGCACTATTAGCATTCATCTCTTACATGATTTACCGGTGGAAAAACAGAGTTGGAGCGGAGGCATGGGCAGAATCATCTCTGCACTACATAATGGGGAATTGTTTGGGTTTATCCCCTAAAGCACTGTTGACTTTTCAAAATGAACGCCCAATAGCTATGGTAATTTTTTGCCCTATAAACAAAAAAAGACTGACAATTTTGAAAAAAAAAAAAAAACAATATTTTTGACTTTTTGCTATAAAATATATCCAATAAAAAATGTTAAAAAAATAAAATTTCTTCATAAATGTAGGCCAAAATGTATTCTGCTACATGTCTCTGGTAAAAAGAAATCCCAGTAAGTGTATATTAATTGGTTTACGTGAAAGTCATAGCATTTACAAATGGAGGCATATATACTTTTTTTTACTAGTAATGGAAGCAATCAGTGACTTATAGCGGGACTGCAGCAGGCATTCTGACACTGGGTGGGTACTGACTAACTGGCACTGATCAGTGCTGAGAAAAAGCACCGATACTGTACTAATGACACTGGGCAGGAAGGAGTTAGCATCTGGGGCGATCAAAATGTTAACTGTGCTGTGTGTGTTTCACATTATATGCTGTGTGCTGTTTTACAATGCAGACATGCTGCTTTGTATTTCTCTGCTGTGCAGAAAAATACAAAGCAGCATGTCCTTGCTGACAGGAGAGAGACCTGTGTTGTTTACACACAGGTCTCTCCCATGTCAGCTTTCCCCAACGATCATCGAGTGCTGGCGGGGAATCGCCAGCTGGAACCCAGTGATTGACATCTCTAGCCGCCAATGGTGGCGTGGGCAGGGTGGCACAAGTGTGCCCCCTACCCGGAAATGCTAATCAAATATATATATGTAATTTTGCACAGCCCTGCCACCCTGTAGCAGTACTTCTACTATAGGGCAGCGGGCAAGCGGTTAAGAAGTTCTTTAAGCAAGGACTTTTGTATTTAATTGATGGACTTCAACACTATTTAGCGCTGCACTTTTTTGTTATACATGCAGTTGTGCAGTGCTTGCAGAGTGGCCTGATTTTTCTTGAATGGGTAGCACTTGATGCCAAAAGCATCAGGTGTTATAGTTCCTGCCAAAGCCACGAAGTGAAATATCGTGACCACAGCATGAGTACACCCCCAGTCGCTGCCTCTGCATCTAAAGGGGGAGCTGTAAAAACGTGGCTCAACTGCAGGGTTTTACTGCACCTTAACCACTAGGACTAATGAGTCCTTACAATACTTTCTATACAGTTATTAGTAGGAGAACTTGTCTTTCAAATGTAGGGATCCTGTCTTAAGCAATGGTGTCCCTAGTCTATTAGGTTCTAGTCTGCCTGAGCTCTCATCCATAGCTCTGCTTTTTTCAGGTTTTTCCCTAAGGGCTCAGTTGGGGGGCAGTAAATCCCCATGGTTCAGCTGTGCTTTTACTACAACACTGCTACCCCCTTTAGTTGCAGGGACTGCAGTTGGGGGTGTACACATGCCATAACAGCTGTAGGAATTATACCCCCTTTCACTTTCAATGCATGCAGCTGTGGCATGCTAATGTGGGGATCAAAGAGTTAAGGCAGGTGGTGAGGAGGCGATACAGCGCTTCCTCACTGCTTGTCTAATGCTCTCTGAAGAGTGATCCAAATACAGATCACTATTCAGAAAACTTGCACGTGTGAAGGAGCTCTAGGGGCTTATTTACAGTAGCAGCTGGGGAACAGTAAAACCATGCAGTTGAGCTGTGTTTTTACCATCCCTTAACCACTCCCCTTTAGCTAGAAAGGAAGTGGTGGGGGGTGTACACATGCATGCAGTATTAACCACTTGCCTACCGGGCACTTTTACCCCCTTATTTACCAGGCCAATTTTCAGCTTTCAGTGCTGTCGCACTTTGATTGACAATTGCGCGGTCATGCAAGATTGTACCCATATGAAATTTTTATCATTTTTTTCTCACAAATAGAGCTTTCTTTTGGTGGTATTTAATTGTTGCTGTGCACTTTACTTTTTGTACTATAAGCAAAAAAAGTGCAAAAAATTTTGAAGAAAAAAAAAAGTTTCTTTGTTTCTATTATAAAATTTTTCAAACAGGTAATTTTTCTCCTTCACTGATGTGTGTTGATGAGGCAGCACTGATGGGCACTGATAGGCGGCACTGATAGGCGGCACTAATGAGGTGGCACGGATAGGCGGCACTGATAGGCAGCACTAATGAGGTGTCACGGATAGGTGGCACTGATAGGCGACACTGATAATGGGTACTGATAGACAGCACTGATAGGTGGCACTGACTGACATCACTGCTGGGCACTGACTGGCGGCACTTCTGGGCACTGTCTGGCACAACCGCTGGGCACTGACTGGTGGCACTGACTGGCAGCACTGCTGGGCTGCACTGATGGGCACTGGTGGGTGGCACTGGTGGGCAAAGGTGGGTGGCACTGGTGGGCACAGGTGGATGGGCGCAGGTGGGTGGCACTGGTGGGCACAGGTAGGTGGCACTTCTGGGCACAGGTGGTAACACTGCTGGGTGGCACAGGTGGTGACACTGCTGGGTGGCACAGGTGGGTGCACTGCTGGGCACAGGTGGGCGCACTGCTGGGCACAGGTGGGCGCACTGCTGGGCGGAACTTGTGTGTGGCACTGCTGGGCACCGATCATCAGGGCACTGATGATCAGTGACCCTGATGATCGGTCCCGATCCCCGCTCTGACAACTGCCAGTTTTCGGCAGTACTTTCCTCACGATCTCACAGCGTGAGGAAAGTGCAGCCAAGAACCGGCATTTGCATTTCCCGGTGATCAGCGTGTCATTGGACACGGCTGATCACGTGGTAAAAGGCCGCTGTGATTGGCCTTTTACCACATCACGTGATCAGCAGTGTCCGTAGGACACAGCGATCACGGAGATCGCCGGGTGCGCGGTGCGTTCTGGGAGGACGTCATATGACGTCCACCCAGAACTGGCCGGCCGCAGTGCAGCCGTCATTTGGCTATCTGCGGTCGGCAAATAGTTAAGATGCCGCACTCCCAACAGTCCAACATGCGATAGAGGTAAGAAGCAGCCTCAGCCTTGGCTCTTCCCTGGCCATGCCTGCTAACGCAATTTGCTCCAAGACGTTAGTAACCTCTATGACTAAGCCATGGGTCTGGGGACATATTGCATGTTGGGCTGTTGAGGGTGCTGCGTCTTTATACTGCAAAGTCAACCATGACTTCTGGATGAGCATTTCAGACATTGGCACCCGTAATAACAAGGATAACTGGAGCGGATATATTGGTGCTTAGAGCGGTGCCCCAGGCCATCAGAATGGGTCGCAGTGGGGTGTACAGATGGTGCAGCAGGAATAATCCCCTCTGTTGAATTCAGCAAGCCCTACCGCCCACTGTACATGATCCATTCAAGTGAATGGGGCCTTCGCTGCAACCACCCTGCAACCAATGCGAGTTGCGGCACATTAGCCGGGCATTTAGGGGTTTACAACAGGTGGTGGGGAGGAAAAGCCTTGTCACCCCCTGTCAAATGCTCTCTGAAGACCGATCCAAATGCGGATCTCTTTTCAAAGAGCACCACAAGTGTAAACAGTGCCTAAGATCAGTGTTAATCGTCACTCATATGTGCCAGCTGCGACAAGAATTCAGTGAATACCTGAGGCTGGATTTACAGGTGGATGCAGATAGTTGAGGGCATTCTGACAGTCTGACAGCAGTTACAGCAGCCTACGAGGGTTCAGATTTCCTCACACATGGAGTGACTATCTGCTGTTAGGGACAGATTATCATCATTGGATGCAAACAGTACAGCTTTCCTTGGATGCAGTCTGTCTGCTTTCAGAGTCGTGCATTGGTCACCTATGTACTGATATAGATACAGGAATGTGCAGGAAGATCTGTGCAGCCATCAGCCTGTCTTTGTTTTTAACATAGCTGGTGGCATGTGGCTGCATAGACCAACTGTGTTTTCAGGCACATATACACAGTCCTCTGCACAGGTGTACAGATCCATTCACCTTTGTTTCCAGGCACATACAGTGAGGAACAGAAGTATTTGAACACCCTGCGATTTTGCAAGTTCTCCCACTTAGAAATCATGGAGGGGTCTGAAATTCACATTGTAGGTGCATTCCCACTCTGAGAGACAGAATTAAAAAAAAATTCAGGAAATCACATTGTATGATTTTTAAAGAAATGATTTGTCTTGCACTGCTGAACATAAGTATTTGAACACCTAAGAAACAGCAAGAATTCTGGCTCTCAAAGACCTGTTACTGTGCCTTTAAAAAGTCCACCTCTACTCCACTCATTAATCTAACTTAGTAGCACCTGTCTGAGCTCTTTAAAGACACCTGTCCACCCCACAGTCAGTCAGACGCCAACTACTACCATGGGCAAGACCAAAGAGCTGTCAAAAGACACCAGAGACAAAATTGTGGACCTCCACAAGGCTGGAAAGGGCTACGGGGCAATTGCCAAGCAGCTTGGTGAAAATAGGTCAACTGTTGGAGCAATTGTTAGAAAATGGAAGAGAATAAGACAACTGTCAGTCTCCCTCGGACTGGGGCTCCATGCAAGATCTCACCTCGTGGGGTATCACTGATGATAAGAAAGGTGAGGAATCAGCCAAGAACTACAAGGGAGGAGCTGGTCAATGACACAAAGAGAGCTGGGACCACAGTTTCAAAGGTCACTGTCGGTAGAACACTACGCCGTCATGTTTTCAAATCATGCATTGCACGGAAGGTTCCCCTGCTCAAGTCATCACATGTCCAGGCCCGTCTGAAGTTTGCCAATGACCATCTGGATGATCCAGAGGAGGCATGGGAGAAAGTTATGTGGTCAGATGAGACCAAAGTAGAACTTTTTGGTCTAAACTTCACTCGTCGTGTTTTTGAGGAAAAAGAAGGATGAGTTGCATCCCAAGAACACCATCCCTACTGTGAAGCATGGGGGTGGTAACATCATGCTTTGGGGTGCTTTTCTGCGAAGGGGACAGGACGACTGCACTGTATTAAGGAGAGGATGAATGGGGCCATTTATTGTGAGATTTTCAGCAACAACCTCCTTCCCTCAGTCAGAGCATTGAAGATGGGTCGTGGCTGGGTCTTCCAACATGACAACGACCCGAAGCACACAGCCAGGATAACCAAGGAGTGGCTCCGTAGGAAGCATATCAAGGTTCTGGAGTGGCCTCGCCAGTCTCCAGACCTAAATCCAATAGAACATCTTTGGAGGGAGCTGAACCTCCGTGTTGCTCAGCGACAGCCCTGAAACCTGACAGATCTAGAGGAGATCTGTGTGGAGGAGTGGGCCAAAATCCCTGTAGCAGTGTGTGCAAACCTGGTCAAGAACTACAGGAAACGTTTGACCTCTGTAATTGCAAACAAAGGCTTCTGTACCAAATATTAACAACGATTTTCTCAGGTGTTCAAATACTTATGTTCAGCAGTGCAAGACAAATAAATTCTTTAAAAATCATACAATGTGATTTCCTGATTTTTTTTTTTTTAATTCTGTCTCTAAGAGTGGGAATGCACCTACAATGTGAATGTCAGACCCCTCCATGATTTCTAAGTGGGAGAACTTGCAAAATCGCAGGGTGTTCAAATACTTCTGTTCCTCACTCTACACACAGTCCTCTGCACAGGTGTACAGATCCATTCACCTGTGTGAATGAGCCCTAGCAGCCTGACAATCCCCATACTATTGGCCCAGACTGTAATGGTAAATCTGAGCCTATACACATACTATATAATATATATTTACTCAGTTAAAGTATTTTGGTTTACCTTACAGAATCTGAAGGCGGTATTACTACAACTCATCACCATGCTCATTACCTCTTCAGCAGTGATGCAGCCCACCATGATACCCAGAGGTATGAACAACCATATGTGAAAAGGTATTTAAAGGGATTTTCTTTAATGTTACAATATCTGCAATATCCCTCAGCCTTCTATTTAGTTAGCACTAAAACATGCTTTAGATTCACCTGTCCCAAAGTTATTGTTTATTTAATTATCGAACTTGCAGCGTAGAAACAGTTGGACCAGGCACATAGTTTGCTGCAGCTAAATGCAGCTTCTGGACACAGCACACTCTGAGGGAGATTTACTAAAACAGCAGCTTGCAAAATCTGGTGCAGCTCTGCATAGATACCAATCATCTTCCAAATTTTATAGTCAAAACGTAAAGACTACATTTACCTTTCATACCTCCATATGGGCAGGCAGTTACATGAAAACAGGAAGATCAATGAACTATGAGAGAGCTCATCAGCATCCTCGTAGTTCATTGAGAACTACAAGCTGTCAACCACAATGGCTGAAGGTACTTGTAGTCTATTCATTCACAGGAAACTGTGAATGAGTGATATGGCTGTGTGGGCGGAGCCCCACAGTCTTTTCAAATAGTGACAGATGGTGCAGAGAAAGGATACCTTGCCCGCTATCGCGGGGAGGGGGGGGGGTGCATGTTGAACATGTTACACCTATAAATGCGGGTGTAACATGTTCAGAAAGGTGAACTCAGCCTTTAATTCAACAAGCTGAAGTTAGAAGCTGATTGGCTACCATGCACAGCTGCACCAGATCCTGAGTGTTCCAGTTTTAGTGAATCCCCCGCTCTGTGTTATGGCTGCATACAAACCGGGCAATTAGTTATAGCCACTTTGTTTGTGGACAGAACTTGGCAGAAACACTGACACTGGATGCACATTGTCTGTGTCCAGGGTTGTTTGGAGGCTCTATTGGCATGGAACACTCTGATGAACGGTTACATCCATAAAGCAGGGATGCTGACCATTGATTTTTAACAGAATATAAATCTGACAGCTGCTGCTATTTGCACACAGTGGTGGTTATTTACTAAAACTGTAGAGTGCAAAATCTGGTGCAGCTCTGGCTAGAAACCAATCAGAGTCCAGGTTTTATTGCCAAAGCTTAACTGCACAAACTGACGTTAGAAGCTGACTGGCTACCATACACAGCTGCACCAGATTCTGAGTGCACCAGTTTTAGTAACCCCCCCCCCAGTGTGTGTATGCAGTGTTTAGAAGCACTGCCAAGAACCTACTGATTCTCACTGGTGGCTGTACCTAGCCATCCCTGTGTGATTGTATGATTGTAGCTTTATAATAACTTGTCAGTGAGTACATCTGAGAACAAGGTAATGTATCCTAGATTTCTAATTTGGCAAGACATGTAGCAAAAAGTCATAGATTAACTATAAATCTTTTGCTCAGTGACACAAGAAGAAAGAGAATGATTGGTGTGAAATCTAATTTTTTGGTTTTCTGCCAGGAACAATCTAGAGGGGTTTTCTACAAATTAAAGGGTTAATTCACCTTTACCAAAAAAATGCCTATGCAAATAAGGGGTGTCTGTAGATAACAACCAACTGTACAGCTTAGACCAAAGTTGAATCATTTCCTTGCTATAGGTGTAGACCATTTACATACCTCCGGAAGCCTAAGTGCAAAACTCCTAGGATGTTGCTAAGATGTGCCGAGCTGTTGCTGTTCACCTTCTCCATCATAGGAGTTAACTCTCAAACGCTGAACACAGAGCTATTATATCAGGGGTGAAAAAGCACATGTGAGGAGGTTTGGATTAGAGAAAGAGCTCACTCCTGTTATGGTGAAGGTGAGTTTTCCAGTCAGGCTTCAGGAAGTACATAAATGGCCTACACCTGTAGCAAGGGTGTTATTCAAATTTAGTCAAAGCTGCACAGTTTGTTTTTACCTACAGATTTGCATAGGCAGTTTTTTGGTAAAGGTGAACTAACCCTTTAAATAACTGGGTGAAAATTGGTTTTGAAATAGAAATTTTTTTTTAATCAAAATAACTGTCAGGAACCAAGCACTTAAAAAAAAGTTAAAAAACAAAAAACATCTGCTTGATGATCAAACGTATC